TCGCTGCTCTCCCCCCCTCAGCCCCCGCCCGGACCTGGTTTACGACACTGGGTGGTTTGGTGTGTGCATGTGTGCCTTTTTTTTTACTTTTTTACATCACCTTCCTACACCTAGTGTTCGGCCGCCGGAACCTTGTTGCCAGGGGAGACGGCCGCTTTACGGCAGCACGTTTGAACCGGCAGGAGGGAAAAGTTTCTCTCGCCTTGCCGTACGCAGGTACTTTATAGCGCCAGGAACGGAACGGAGCGCGCGGGGGGGGGGGAGAAAGCGAAAGAAGAAGGAGGGAGCGGTTTGTGTATGGGTTGGAACGTCGGGAGAAGGGGGGGGTCCTTTTATCGGGGGGGGATGTGTGCGGCGCGTCCAATGGGAGGGGCGCGCGCGAGGGAGAGGGGCGCGAGGAGAGCGCACGGGGGGACTGGCCAATAGGTAGGCGAGCGCGCCCCGCGAGGACACCGTTGGCTCTTAGGGTGGCGGCGGGGCTTCCGTTATTCAGGGCCTCGCTCAAGGATTCCACACAGTCCCCACAGTTAGAGCAAAACGGGTGTGTGGGGGGGAAAACAAGGCAAATTTTCACCCCGAGTTATTGTGGGAAGGGAAAAGGAGTGAGAAAATGGGCAAGGAGGCAAACAGGGGTTCTAGGCAAGACTTCAAATAGCCAGTGGGCGGGTGGGTGGATGTCAACTGAATACTATATTGGCTCTGAGGGAAAGAGCAGAACAACGGGTATAAATAAGAAAGCGTGCGAGGTACCTGCGAAATGGCAGGTACCTATTCCGTTAGATATGGGCAGGTGCTGCCAGGCTCTTCAAAGACTAAGCAGATATCTTTAGCTGTTTTATTTATCGGTTTATTTTATTTATATGCCATCTTTCTCCTCATAAAGGGACCCAAGGCAGCATATAAATACTGTACAGTATTAAACTATTAAAAGGAATAGAATTAAAAGCATGATAAGTTAAACATTAAAAAACAAGCTATATGCTAATTAAAATACAATTGAATAATTGAAAGCAAGAAAACATTTAGAAACTATCTCAACTCTAAGAAGGTGTTCAAGGATTCAATCATGATTGTTAAAATTTTGTGGAGTTTGGGAACAAGACTCGTGCTGGTCAATAGAAAGTCATTAGAATAGGAGCAGTTTGACAACAGGAGAAGGATGAGGACAGACCTGTGTTCTGCTTTGTATATCTATATATGTGGAGAAATCTTTTAGCAAGGTTCATGGTGAATTTCAGAAGCAAGGTCAAATTTGGTATTTGGAAATATGAGAGAATTACAACATGTTAAAAGAAGTAATTATGGTGTGATCTGATGTAAAGAGAGCAAAGATCCTTTACTACTTTCCTTGCCATCTCCTTTGCAGAAACTTATTTCCATCTAGCATCAAGAAACCACTCTCATCCTCTTAATTTAAGCCATTTAGAGCTGTATATATTAGAATCAGCAACTGTAAAATTTATCCTTGAAACAATGTAATTATTTTTAACTTAGAAATCAGCATCAGTGTAGGACAGTGCTTTCAGTTTTTGACCAATGCTCGATCTGTCAGGTGACTAGTCTATTTTTCCCCTTTGTATTACTCTTCTCCCACTCAACAGGGAAATAAACAAATGTTAATAGGACTCTATAAAGTTAATAGGTCAGGCCTGTGACCTAAGAATCCAGTTTTCGCCAATTGTCAAACATTGCATTGGAAATACTGTACAGAATTTTATAATCATTTGCAATAATTAAAAGTCACCAGAAGGGGGCATGAAACATTGTCACTATTCTAATCAATGCTGTGTTGAGAAACTCTACCTGAAACCTTGTGGTGTTAACATACTTCTTGCTGTGTTTCTTGATAGAACACAAATGCAAAAGTAGGTGACACCCTTCTGGTGACTTTTAATTATTGCAAATGATTATAAAATTCTGTGTAATAAGCCCTAGTTAAGTGAAACCCCACTCTCCATCATTGTGCAGCAACTGGAAGAAGATGACATGACTGTACTGTATTTGAATAAGTGTAGATTATTGTACATGAAAAAAAAACCTGAAAATAAGCCCTAATGTGTTTTTTGGAATAAAAATGAATATAAGACTTTGTCTTATTTTCAGGGAAACACAAGAGAGATATATAATTCTCTCAAAGTGGTCTAAAAGTATAACACACTTGCATTGACATTATGTAATGACCACATAACTTTTTTTCTTTTAAATTCTGAACTATGGAGCTAGATGTTCAATTTTTAGTGGTCTAATAAAGGTATCACCTGATCTTATATTTGTATTATGTAACAGGCACATGGTCTTTATTTTTTTAATAGAACTTGTATTTCTTGCTAAAAATTCCAGTTTATTTTCTGAGATGTAAAAATTAGAAGGATGACATTGGTATGATGTGAAAGACCACTGTCTGAGAGACCTTGGAGAGCCATTGCAAGTTAGAATAGACAGTACTGGACTAGGTGGACAAGCAGTCTAACCTGGTATAACACCGCTTTCTATACAGTCATTGTTGGAATCCAAAATCACAATGGTCAAAAATTTAATATTTAGAATATTTGCTGAATAGACTATCCATGTACTAAAAGATTTTTTTAATGAACTCAAGATGGAAGGAATGGCTGTTGCATTCATACTTGGCTAGTGTTTGAAACAATGCTCAACTATTACAGGAACTTCCATTTAATCCAGAAATGCAATTTTGATTTTAAACAGAGGAGGCTGAAATCTTATATACTGAGGAGTAAGTCCCACTGAAGTCAGTAAGACTTATTTTCTGAGTAAATATGTATAGTATTTGGCTGCGCAAAAAAAAAGTTATTTTTCTGACATTGATGATGAGGGAACTGTGCTGCTTAGAAAGCTGTGTGTTAGAATGGTATTTCTTCTTCTGATCTGGTCTAATTGCTGCCTCTGGCTCTTCCGTAGATTAGTGACAGGGATTTACATGTTGTGTTCTTTAAAGCCTAGGTGTTGCCATAGGATGAATTGCATGGTCAACACTGATTACTACTTTATAGGACTTGGAAAAAAGTCTCTAAAAAGTGGATGCAAACCCTGTACTGTATTAGGAACCTGAAAGTGGTTAAAGCTATAGGCCTTTTTAAAATTGTAGGATTTTTTTTCTGCTCCAAGCAGTGGCAATGCTCTTCGTTGTAGGGAAAAAGAACAAACTATAATAATAGACCGAAATATGATAGAGAACATTTGGTTAATGCAAGCTAGGATTTCATCTTCAGGGTCATTGTACCATGGGAAAGTGAGGACATATTGACACTACAGTGGTCATGCATGGATTTAAACTATCCATAAACTTGCAGTTGTGGCTAATGCTTCTGATATTTTAACTGCAGTTTGGGAGGGGCGTGGCAGGGGAATGCACAGGCATAAGACCCATCCCACTCTGTTCCATAGCTCTAAACTGCTGTTTAACATTCTGACCAAATGTAACACATATATGATGATGTTACATTTTCTTTTTCATAACTACAAAGAGACAATATCTTTTTCTCTATCTGACTAATTCTACAACCGATTTAGAACTATGTTTTAACTTCTACGATTTCACTTTCTATGTCCTTTACTTGATATGTTTTATATAGAGTGGTCATGATTGACCAGATAGGCGGGATATAAATAAACAAACAAACAAACAAACAAATAAAATATGGCATCAAGTTGATTCCAACTTAAGGTTATCCTAGTAGTTTTTTTTGAAGTGTTTGAGATGTTTAAGAAGTGGTTTTGTCAGTGTCACCATTTCCATAAGTTTCCATGGCTGCGGGTAGATTTGAATGCTTCTGAGTGGCACTGCTAATTACACCATTCTCATTGTGCGTGCAGAGTGGTACAACAGGATTTCAGCCAGTATCTGATTCAGCCATCTGCTAAGCTGGTTTGAGTCTGATTATTGCCTGAGAGAAATGCTGCAAACCCCATGTAGGTAACTTTGAGTCCCATCATGGAGGAAAGATGGGATCTAAAGATGCCTCCTTCTTGGGAAGAAAGCAATGATAAACCTAGACAGCATCTTAAAAAGCAGAGATATCACCTTTCCGACAAAGGTCCGCATAGTCAAAGCTATGGTTTTTCCAGTAGTGATGTATGGAAGTGAGAGTTGGACCATAAAGAAGGCTGAACGCCGAAGAATTGATGCCTTTGAATTGTGGTGCTGGAGGAGACTCAACCCTGAGTGCTCACTGGAATGACAAATCCTGAAGCTGAGGCTCCAATACTTTGGCCATCTCATGCGAAGAGAAGACTCCCTGGAAAAGACCCTGATGTTTGGGAAGTGTGAAGGCAAGAGGAGAAGGGGATGACAGAGGACGACATTGTTGGACAGTGTCATTGAAGCCACCAACATGAATTTGACACAACTCCAGGAGGCAGTGGAAGACAAGATGGCCTGGCGTGCTTTGGTCCATGGGGTAACAAAGAGTCAGACACGACCTAATGACTAAACAACAAACAACAACACCCTTTTCCCCCGAAAATAAGACCTAACCTAGTATGATTTTTCAGGATTCTCGTAATATAAGCCCTACACCAAAAAGAAGCCCAGTTCAGTGAAACCCTGGCCTCCACCATTGTGCAGCGTTGTACAGCAACCAGAAGAAGAAGTGACTGTATTTGAATAACTGTAGATTGTTGTACATGAAAAAAATGAAACATCCCCTGAAAATAAGTCCTAATGTGTGTGTTTTTTTGGAGCAAAAATTAATATACGTAAGACCCTGTCTTATTTTTGGAGAAAGACGCAGTAGTAACCTTAAAGGTGCAATTTGCAGCAAAAGAGGGGTTTATAAATGCAGAAACAATTGAAATACAAGTTTCACAAGCCACGTAAAATTAACAACCCTCTGGCAGAAGAGTATTTTACATCACTCTCCAACCATAAAACATGCTTGTCTTGCATAATAATCCATGCTTCCATTTACGTCATGGAGACATCTTATTTTAAATTGATTTTTAAAAAGCAGTGGTTCTTATTCTGAGTGGGCCAGGGTCTAAGACGGAGTTCCCTCTGAGAGGCAACAACGAAAAGGTATTTTGGATAGGGAAACACGAACAAACTGCTCATGTTCAACAATAGCAAATTTTCTTAAAGTTGTGAAGCGGGTACAGGTATTTCATGTTACACCTTTAAAAGATTTGTATAGCAAGATACCCTTAAGCATTCTTTAGAACAAAATATTCAGATTAACTTCATTCTCTTCTTGGCAAAA